CATGGTGATAGTCATGGCTATAGGCAGGTTGTGGGTGTGTCAACTGGGAGAAGAAAGTCCTTTCCTTCTTTCTGGATGCCTTGCCCTTCTGCGCTGCCTGTGTCGGGTACCCGCACTCCTGGAGCAGCCACCGGATTAATCCCCTAAGCTGTTGTGGGCGGGGTCTCCATCAGAGCAATGCAGAGCCCTATGGGGAGTGGCAGGCATGCCGGGTGCATTCCTCCATGATAGCGGCACCCCAGCCGGGCAGCTGTGCGCCAGCAGCAGCCTTTGGGTCTTGCTCAGGCAGCTGTGCATCAGACTGGGATTCCGGTCGGCTGCTCGGAGTGTGGCTGCTTCTGGGCTGCTCCTCTGCCACCACCATGGGCTCACTTGGGCTGCTCCCAGTCCCCTCTAGTGCCACTGTCCCCTGCATGCGCTGCTGCTCTCCCACTCCTGGGCCAGTGTGTTGGGGTCTGCGCCAGTTGGGGGAATGACTGGCAGGCTCCTTAGTGCTGTGAGGGGCTTCAGAGCTGTGCTGCCACCCAGGGGGTTAGGGTGCCTAAAGTTCCCCGGGATTCCCAGCTGCTGTCTAAGTGTGCCAGGACGACTTCATCTAGTTGTGGGGTCCATGTCTCTTTAAGACTTGCAAAAAGCACTCACTTTTCTTTTGTCTCAGGGGTGCCGGTTGTGGGGACCTGCCTGCAGGTTTTGCTTTTCCGTTTCTCTAATATCCAGCACCTTGTGCACCGTGTGTCTGCGCTCTGTATGCAGATTTCTAGAGCTAGTTATTTAGCAGTCCTGGGCTTTCACTCCCTCCCCGTTCCAACTCCTTTCTTCCTGTCGGGTTCTGCGGTGGGGGGCGTTTGAGTCCCGCCAGGCCGCAGCTTGTGTCTTACCCCCTTTGTGTGATGTTGAGTTCTCGCAGATGTAGATGTATCCTGGCTGTTGTACTGTATCCACTGGTGTCTCTTTTGGGAATAGTTGTATTTGTTGTATTTTCATAAATATATATGTTTTTGGGAGGAGATTTCCACTGAACTACTCACGTTGCTATCTTGGCTCCGCCTCTGGTTCATTTTTTTATACTAGACTTTCAATATATTTGGGGGCCATACTTGACTACAAAGGCATATGTTTTTGTAATTCTGAATATTTCAACAAATTAATAAAGCTACAACTCTAAAGGTAATAAGATAATTTATTTTGTAGAACAAAATATGATGCTGGGCCGGATATATGCTTTTGTTCTTGTATTGCTAATTTATTTGATTTTTAATTTTTAAAATGTTCTAACCTGAAAAAAAGCCAAGATTACAATTTGATGGATGCCCATGTTCCCCTTCTCTATTTTCACCTCTTAATAATTTCTTCTAGCCTTTCTTCAGTTTTTATAACTTGTCACTCCCCTATAAAGCAGAGGAAGTATGTTCCATCCCCACTCTTACCTCTTTCTCCATTTTGAGTAATACTGACTCTTTTTTTCTCTCTATTTCATTTGTTTTAAATATTTCTGGTGCTCATGTTGTGTCAAATTTGGCCCATGGGAGCCTCTTCAACTGGTGCTTGTGTCTTCTAGATCTAATTCCATTATTCTTTGAGCAATTCCTTGCTTTATGGTACAAATGCCTCCAGTCTCACCTTCTATACTTTCCCTGCTGCAGACCTGAAATAAACTGTTCCTGCAAGATGGTAGTAAATATTTGAATTAATTGGGAATGTCTCAGAATCTTAGACTTGTAATGACTTTGATAGACATCTAAGTCATTATTAGAAGATTCTTATCTTTATTTTAGAGAATTTCAAGTCTTGAGGCATAGTCAGAGTTGAAATAGTCATCTTGATAGTCTATATAACTTTTATGTTTAGATTTTAGTTATTATTGATAATTACTGATTAATGAATTTTTAAATCGTAAGAGGGTATGAAAACATAAAAATAAATAAATTTAAAAACGAAATCACAATTATTTGAACCAAATTTTTTTTTTGCCTTTAGTTTCTTACTGGGAGAAGAAAGTCCTTTCCTTCTTTCTGGATGCCTTGCCCTTCTGCGCTGCCTGTGTCGGGTACCCGCACTCCTGGAGCAGCCACCGGATTAATCCCCTAAGCTGTTGTGGGCGGGGTCTCCATCAGAGCAATGCAGAGCCCTACGGGGAGTGGCAGGCATGCCGGGTGCATTCCTCCATGATAGCGGCACCCCAGCCGGGCAGCTGTGCGCCAGCAGCAGCCTTTGGGTCTTGCTCAGGCAGCTGTGCATCAGACTGGGATTCCGGTCGGCTGCTCGGAGTGTGGCTGCTTCTGGGCTGCTCCTCTGCCACCACCATGGGCTCACTTGAGCTGCTCCCAGTCCCCTCTAGTGCCACTGTCCCCTGCATGCGCTGCTGCTCTCCCACTCCTGGGCCAGTGTGTTGGGGTCTGCGCCAGTTGGGGGAATGACTGGCAGGCTCCTTAGTGCTGTGAGGGGCTTCAGAGCTGTGCTGCCACCCAGGGGGTTAGGGTGCCTAAAGTTCCCCGGGATTCCCAGCTGCTGTCTAAGTGTGCCAGGACGACTTCATCTAGTTGTGGGGTCCATGTCTCTTTAAGACTTGCAAAAAGCACTCACTTTTCTTTTGTCTCAGGGGTGCCGGTTGTGGGGACCTGCCTGCAGGTTTTGCTTTTCCGTTTCTATAATATCCAGCACCTTGTGCACCGTGTGTCTGCGCTCTGTATGCAGATTTCTAGAGCTAGTTATTTAGCAGTCCTGGGCTTTCACTCCCTCCCCGTTCCAACTCCTTTCTTCCTGTCGGGTTCTGCGGTGGGGGGCGTTTGAGTCCCGCCAGGCCGCAGCTTGTGTCTTACCCCCTTTGTGTGATGTTGAGTTCTCGCAGATGTAGATGTATCCTGGCTGTTGTACTGTATCCACTGGTGTCTCTTTTGGGAATAGTTGTATTTGTTGTATTTTCATAAATATATATGTTTTTGGGAGGAGATTTCCACTGAACTACTCACGTTGCTATCTTGGCTCCGCCTCTGGTTCATTTTTTTATACTAGACTTTCAATATATTTGGGGGCCATACTTGACTACAAAGGCATATGTTTTTGTAATTCTGAATATTTCAACAAATTAATAAAGCTACAACTCTAAAGGTAATAAGATAATTTATTTTGTAGAACAAAATATGATGCTGGGCCGGATATATGCTTTTGTTCTTGTATTGCTAATTTATTTGATTTTTAATTTTTAAAATGTTCTAACCTGAAAAAAAGCCAAGATTACAATTTGATGGATGCCCATGTTCCCCTTCTCTATTTTCACCTCTTAATAATTTCTTCTAGCCTTTCTTCAGTTTTTATAACTTGTCACTCCCCTATAAAGCAGAGGAAGTATGTTCCATCCCCACTCTTACCTCTTTCTCCATTTTGAGTAATACTGACTCTTTTTTTCTCTCTATTTCATTTGTTTTAAATATTTCTGGTGCTCATGTTGTGTCAAATTTGGCCCATGGGAGCCTCTTCAACTGGTGCTTGTGTCTTCTAGATCTAACTCCATTATTCTTTGAGCAATTCCTTGCTTTATGGTACAAATGCCTCCAGTCTCACCTTCTATACTTTCCCTGCTGCAGACCTGAAATAAACTGTTCCTGCAAGATGGTAGTAAATATTTGAATTAATTGGGAATGTCTCAGAATCTTAGACTTGTAATGACTTTGATAGACATCTAAGTCATTATTAGAAGATTCTTATCTTTATTTTAGAGAATTTCAAGTCTTGAGGCATAGTCAGAGTTGAAATAGTCATCTTGATAGTCTATATAACTTTTATGTTTAGATTTTAGTTATTATTGATAATTACTGATTACTGAATTTTTAAATCGTAAGAGGGTATGAAAACATAAAAATAAATAAATTTAAAAACGAAATCACAATTATTTGAACCAAATTTTTTTTTTGCCTTTAGTTTCTTTAACTGTTTCACTGTTTATCCCATTTATCTTTAATTTATTCTCTATCCCCCTTTCATTTGTCTAATCTGTATTTGTTATGCATCTTTTTAATTTGAGATCATCACAACAAAAACATTAAATATATAAAATTAAGAATAAAATCATCACTAGAATAATATAAATATAAATTTAAGAATGGAGAAAACTTTCCATCTACTATATGCAGGTGATAATGGCCCATTTAAATCTGGCTATAAGTTTCATGGCAGCCAAAGGAAAAGAGAGATAAAGCAATTTATATTTCTAGTGTAAGAGAGAAAAAAAATTTTTTTTTACTTCTTTAGGGAAAACAAAATATCTCCTGGCAAGTTTTAAAAGGAATTCATCACATGGAGCTCTTCAGAGGGATCATAGAGTATAGTTTGGACAATAATTTCATTATTTCTACAAAATTAGAAGAAACAGTTTTCAAAAGACTGTCGTAGATTATTTTTCATTAAAAGCAAATGGCACAAAAAATTATAGAAATAGTACATCTTCATACAGTTAATTGTTAAGATCAGGGCTCAAAACATGGCCCATGCATGAGTATTAATCTGTGTGTGGTAGGCAGAAGGCCAGGATGGCCCTCAAGATTCCCACCCCTAGTGTATACATTCTGAATAATCCTTTTCCCTTGCATGTGAATAGAACTTGGGAATATGATGAGATGTCACTTGTGATTATATTTTGTTACATGGTAGAAGTGATTTTCCAGATTAATTAAGATCCGTAGTCAATTGACTGAGTTAATCAAAAGAGAGATTACTTGAAGTGAGTATGACCTCATCAGGTACCCTCTTAAAAGAGATCAAGAGATGTTTCCTCTCCGCCCTTGAAGAAGCAAACTGCCATGTTGTGGATAGGAACATATGTCAGGCAAGTGTGGGGTGCCTCTAGGAGCTGAGAACGACTCCACTTGACAGCCAGCAGGAAAGCAAGACCTGGGTTCTACAATTGCAAGGAACTGAATTCTTCTAATAACCAGTAAGCTTGGAAAAGGACCCTGAACTTCAGATGCAATTGCAGCCCCAGACGATGCCTTGATTTCAACCTTGTGAGACTTAGAGCACAGAATCAGCTACACCATGCTGGACTTCTAAACTGTGGAAATGGTGAGTTAATAAATTATATTTTAAGCTGCTAAATTTGTGATAATATGTAACATGGCAATAGATAACAAATAAACCATGTGTGGGAAAACTCACAGACCAGTAAATTTCTCCCAAATACTTGTCCCAACTTCAGATTTTAGAAAATAAAGAAATAATCGAAAGTAACAGCTGTTACAGAAGTTGGAAACTAGTGTCTGTACCCAGAATTCAGCTCTGGATGAATTTGCCTACTTTGTATTGTTAATTTTTTTTTAAATTCCATTTTCAACATTTTAAATTGAGATATTATGTATTTCTGGCTTTCTTTAAAAAGCAAAAGGAACACTGGGCCCCAATTCTACCTAGAAATAACCAGCTAGTTTAAGAAGTTAGCAATAGTTTCTTCCTCTAAATGGGACGACTGTTTCCATTTTGTTGTATTCCCCTCCACTCTGTGATTGCACCAAGTTACTTTTCTGTTTTCACTGATTTGTATTATCTGTGTTTCTGACTCCTGTATTACAAATAAGATAAATTACAAGATAAATATGATAAAAAAAGAAGATATATGTTACACATTACAATATATATAAATTTATTCATGTATAGATATATAGTACATGTGTACTTATACATTATTTATAAAAGTAATTCAGTATGTTTTTCTTTAAGAAAAACTCACTTCCTTTTCCTTCTTCATTTCATGAAGATATTTCTAATTTGGGCAACAGTTATTGTTAGGTTACCCTAACAATAACAGTAATAATAACAGTTAACTGTTTTGGGTCACTGACTCTTTAAAGCCCTTTTAATGCACTGCTAAAACTACATAAAAATGCTAGTCAGTGTACACAATTCCAGTGTTGAATATCTTTTCAGACTTACTCTGTTAACAGAAGTTAAGAGAGGAAAGATGCTATAAAGATCGTCATTGCAAATTTAACCATTGTCTTAACTCCTCAAGTGGAATAAGAAGTCCTGGAGCAAGTGTGCTAGCCATATAGTTTATTCACAGTGGTATAGCTACAGATACTGTTATTTAATTTCTGTTACTCAACTTCCGTTACAACAAAATTAATGTTTTTGGATAGAGCATGTAGATGAGCACAGAAATCCTAATTTCAGGGAGGAAACTATTTTGTGTATTGCAAAAGTGGTTACAAATTATTTCTATTCCTCTATATTCCTCTTTTTGTTTTACAGTGTGATTGTTGTATAGCCTTCCATAAAGAGGTGCAATCTATTTTTTATTAGTTGATTCTGGGCCATACGACTTCATATGAATCATGGGAAAATAGAAAATTTGATAGAAATAGAGACTTTACTTATTGGGACTTGCTTCTCTTGTTGCTTTTGGAAATCATACATCTGTCATGATGTGAATGAACCTGGGTGAGTCTGGCAGGAACCATTATCTGTGGTTCCCTTATCTAGTTTCTTCAGCAGCACCAGCCGTTCTCCATACATGTGAGTGAAGCTTTGAACACCAGCTGACCACAAATATATGTAGGGTGGCTAACTCATCCTGGTTTGACTGGAACTTTTTCAGTTTTAGCACTGAAAGTCCTGTGACCCAGGAACCTCTCCAGGCAAACCCAGATGGTTGGTTATCACAGACTCATGCTTGAATCCAGCCAACATGAGCAGAAGGAACATCATAGTAGCTCGACCCAAATTTCTCATCCACAAAATCATCAACTAATAAATGGTTGGTTTTTGTTTAAGCCATTCAGTTTTGGCATAATTTGTTGTGCAGCAGAAGTTAAGTAATACAAACTTTTAGAGACTTATCTAGTTCATTTAACTCATTTTTGAGGTGAGACAGTTGAGCTTAAGAGAAATAAAATGACATACCCAAGATCACTTTTCTGGTAGGTTTTAAGTTTGTCAACAAAAGCAAATCAAAGCCACTACTAAGAAATTCCAACACCTATCACCCTAATATATATTTGAGTAATAGTTTATCAAAATTTCATACTTGATGAATATCTGATTATATATATAAATATGGGGATTCTATATAATGCAGCATTTAAGAGCAAGGGTTTTGAAATCAAACAGTTGTGAGTCCAAATTCTCCCAGATCATTTTGGACCTTAGGCAACTTACTTGTCCTATCTAGTAACTAGTTTCCTCATTTGTGAAATGGGCATGTTTGTACCCAGCTCTTAGGTTTGATAATGTGAGAGCTAATTTAATGTAATAATGTGAAGTACTATGTAGAGTGTGCTGTGCATAGAAAGGACACCATAAATAGTACCTATTGTTATTACAAATATGTAGGTCATGGAGTCATTAAAAACACAATTTTGTGCTGTTTCAGTATCTGGTTTTGGACAATCTAGTAGTGACCTTGGATTGAGTCTTTTCCATCACTAGTCCCAGATAGAATACATTCTGAGAAACAGACTAATTTTAGTTATTTTATGCCTCATTTTTCCTTATTTCTGTAAACACCATCAACATTTACCAATTCAATATCAGGAAACTGTCTGTAGTTAAGCAATTTCATTTTTAATAACTTCTTTTCTGTTGTTACCTATTTGAAAATAAAAATCCTCCACACATAAACCTTGGTTAAAAACTTTCTGTATCACTTTTATTTGCAACTATTAGTTATCATATGAGAGCTTCAGATAATTATAAAGGAATATAACTGAGGGCATTAAATAAAAATAATTCAAAATTAGCAAAACTTGCTTTAAAACTGTTTAAAGGGTGAAAGGTAACTCAGAAACCAAAGAACATTAAAATATTTTGATTGAACCTATCGTCACAATGAATGGCAGGCTGTACAGTTAATAAGCGGAAATCCATTCAGGTAACCAAAAAAAAAAAAAACAAACAAAAAAAAGGCACCAGCTGTAAACCTCCAGCTGCAGATAGAAGAAAGGAACATTACGGAAGAAGCATTTTAAGTCTCTCCAAACTGTAGTTTTTGTGAATGACCATTGTAGTGTCTCCGGTATGGGAGCACATTAAGAAGAAAAGACAAGATCAACACCGTGACCACAAGACAAGTCTCAGGAAAAGCATTGTCAGTTTATTGTTGAAGGCACATTGTTTAAGATTTCACTGCGGAAAATATCCCTTGGTATTTCAAGGGCAAAGTTGCATCTCCAAAACTCCCTCTGCTTACAGTTGTCTTCTGGTACATTCCATGGTAATCAGCCCAACTCTTGATAAAGCGATATCTCTGTAGGTATCTAATTTAAATAATCAATATGTAGAATCTATATAGAATTTTTCAAAAGTAGAAATTGTGACCTCTGAATTTGACATTAACATGTTTTCATACCATGGAATAATATTGTATTTAAGAAAAATTTAGATGTGGTTTTATCTCAGTAAATGAAGATAATATGATAAGGTTTTATAGAACAAATTAGGTACTCTGTCATATAATTAATATTTTTAAATAAAATTGTTACCAAGTAGAGTATGACAAAGAAGCTCATTGCATTTTTATTTTGAAGACAATCAAAAAATAACATAACTTTAACCCTGTATATGAAGAATATATTGTTCAGTGTGTTAAAGGTGTCTAAGTGTGTACTTGTACAGAGGAAATATCTTTTTTATCTATACGATAGGTCTAAGGCACAATAGCAGTATTACTAGCTTCTCCAAGTAACCCCATCAGGGAGCCTTTCTCTCTCCCTAGTGAGACCAGAATGAGTTAGTAGTTCAAATTCCATTGCCCATTCAGTCTCCTGGGACTTCAAACAAGAGAGACGATTATGATGGTGGGTGCTGGATTGTAGACTTGTGTCCACCATTAATTAAACTGAGTCTGCCTCTAGTTCATATTATAGCCTCCAGTGAGTGACACTCGATGGCATGGCTTAGAGACGGGCTTGCATGGACTGTTTGAACTGATGAAACTGACATTCTGCAAATGAAAGCTTGTTACTAGTCCCCTGAGTTTATCAAAAGCCACCAATTACTTCCTTGGTGGATTGTCTTATGTAGTAGCTAACATTCACTTTTATATTGCCTTTTAAAAAGCAGAGCCTAATATTAGTAAATAAGATAAGAAGTCTAAGAAAGTCAACATAGATGGCTTAATAATTGTATGTTTTCTTATCTGAGAGATAATATTATTTGTTTAGATAACAAGAGTAACTTAAAATGATCTGATTTTAATTTTCAATGATCTTAGTTAAAAAACATGTTTTTTTGACTTAACTAGGTGAAAATATGTGTTTATAAATGAGTCTAAACACTTCAAGATGTTTACCCAAGACAAGAAAAGTTATAAATGTAGAGACTTAAATTACATTTCAGTAAAGGACAATATATATGGTGAACCTTGTTAGGTTATTATAATGCTTATTTCTGTTGCTGAACAATCTTTTATGAATTAGTAGGCTTTGCCCAAAGATTCAGAATACCACAGAGGAGCATAACTAAATATTGAGTCAATGGTTTCCTTTTTCAAAGGAATAGGAATAAGAAGAGGATCTTGTTCTAAACTCCTCCAATAGTTATATTAAAACATTTTAACTTCAAATTGATTTTTCAGTGGGGAAAAAAAGAGAGAGAACTGAGCTCACAGTCTGAATTAAACTTAGAAAATAAGTATTTATATTTTTTGAACTTCTTATTCTTAGAAGCCTAATCAGTGACCAAAAGGCTGCAATAGTTTGTTTTACTTTTGCCCATAGAATATGTATGTGCATTTTATATAATGATGACGCTTTTAATCTTGTAAGAACCACATCCAGCAATGAATCACATTCTTTGAGTGAATAATTCAGTCCTTGACGCCAGCCTCTGAGGGGAATATTACGGTCATGCTGTCTGAACAGTGTGGTAGCTATGGCTACCTATATAATTCTTCGCAATGAAAAAAGTGACAATGACATTAAATTTAATCAGGTTCCCCTTTTCTGTGGTTCCCACTGGGATGAGCCACTAGTGTCTTGCCTTAAATATTCAAAGGCTCTCCTGAGTAGTTTGCATGTGTTCATATACTGGGACAATGTCCTGCTAATACAGAACAATAGATCTGTCATGTTTTTCTCCTGCAAGTAGATGTGTCTAAAGTTACTAAGTATAGGGCTTGAGGGCTATCTTTCCCTCAGGGACCATCTTAAGTCCTAACAAACTGCAATCAGGAAATGTACAAAGACACTAAAGTGTAATGAACTTGATTATCTGCGTTGGAAACTCAAATGGGCTAGAGAACTGTGTTTGCTAAATAATAAAGCTGCCTGGCATTTTTTTCTGTCACACTTCATTTGATATGAAAGGCACAGTATAGAATATCAGTACAGACAGACAGCACCGTATATTTATGCCCTTGTATTTCTGTAAAGTGCTTGTGGACATCACTTCTTTTAAATCATATTTGAGATATTATAATATATGTATATATATTTTAAACCCATTGTGAACCTCTGGAAGAATGGAAGCTAACTTTTAAAGTTTCAAAGGATGAGAAAAAAAAGGATATTCATTACAGTCATTTGTGAGTGCTTGCAACAGATCTGTGCCATTGTCAGCCACTGGTTTAAAAATCTAATTGCTCATAATTTTGATAGTGGAGGAACT